GCCCAAAACACACACACAGATATATATAGACACACACACACATTGTTGAGGTAACATATAGGGTCCGTTTGAATCAGCGATTGAAAAAGCAGCTTATTGAAAAAGTAACTTATGAAAAAATGAAATTGAGTAAAAGCTAAATTGAATAAGCTGAATTGTGTTTGGATTGGAGTTCAGAAAAGTTAGCTTTTAAAAGTGAGATTGGTAAAAGATTGCTTGGATTATGATTGAGTAAAAGCAAGTTTGGTTGTAAAATGACCAAAATAAATATAAGTTTTAATAAATAACAAAACATGATTAAAAAATGATTTCACATAATATAATAAAATTAAAATAATTTAATATGAAAAAGTCATAAAAAAATATTTTAGATATAAAGTGAAACGTGAAAAAATAAAAGTATATTTTTAGAAGCACATTTTAAAATAAAAGTATATTTCTAACTTATTTATTACTTTCAACTAATTTTAACTGATTTTTTATTATCTACAAATTAGTTATTTGAGGTTTATAATAAGAATCAAAGGAGATAATAAATTTCTTAACTTTTTCTCTCTCCACATTTCAAAAGTCATAAGTCATAAGCTATAAGTCATAAGCTGTTAATTTTAGCTTATAGCTTATTGTAACTTTTCATACAAAAGCCCGATTGTAGAAAAGCCCAACCAAACACTCAAAATTTTCCAATCGGGCTTATAGTGAAAATAAGCTACTTATAAACTGCTTATAAGTGATGCCAAACAGGCACATAGTCAGCTTGATAAGATTAGACCTAGACTATTTTGAGTTTAAAATTATTGCTTTCAACGGCTCCACTCTCCAGTTGCTTCAAAAATTTCCTATTTTGAGTTTAAAATTATTGGTATGAATGAATATATGAACATTCTATTTTGTCCGGACTTTCAAAAAATAATAAAAACAAATATAAAGAAGTCTTCATGATTCTTCCTTACAATTTGAAAAAATCTGTCTTCTTTGAAATAAATGACAAGTTAACAATGTAACATTCTAAATATTATTAAAAAATTATTATTATTTCAAAAAAGCAAATAAAAAAATATAATAATATAATAATATTTTATTATTATAAAATAATAATATTTTATATTTTAAAAAAAAGGGGAAGGACAACACGTTCGGCTTTCCACCGAAAGCTGAACGTATTTAAGAGGAAGAGGAATTTTGGGGAAAAGCTTTTAACTGAAGGAAGAAAATATGGAAGAAGTATCAATGAATGAAGAAAAAAATGAGGGAGGACGGTTGGGGTTGAAGGATAAATAGAAGAGGGAGGTATTAGCATAAAAGAAAAAGAGGGAGAGGATGAGAATCAGAGGAAGAGAGAATGAGAGAGAAAAGAAGAGAAGTGTTAGCAGTTTGAAGAGTAGTACAAGCTTTGGGAATCATATAAGTACATTAAACACTTCTTTCTATTAAATTTTTTTTTATGAATATTTCCTATATATTTAGAACTTTATATAAATAGTATCATTACAATATTTAGAGAAAATTTTGTGTTTTGGGTATGCAGTAAGTACTGAGTTTTGACAATAAATGACCATAAAAATTTAGAAATAAATAAGTAATTAATTTTAATAGGTTCATATTTGTCTATTTATTACCTATGGTATTTAAAATTAAATTTATTTTGTTGAAAAATCTGTCATTTATGATATATGTCATATTTATACCGATTAAAATTAAGTTAAATAATTTATTTGAATTGTTTGAGATATTATTGATATTTTAATCAGTTTAAAATGTAAAATAGGTTAAGGATATATTATTAGAAAAATTTTGAAGTTGGAAACTTAAGTTATAAATTGAGATTTTTACAATAGTAGATGAAAACAATATTTTTATAAATATTTAAATGAGTTATTGGGTAGAGGAAAATTGTTTTTTTAAGTAAGAATTTTGGGTAGTAAATGTGTGTGTGTGTATATATTAATAATAATAAATCCTGTATAATTTAAATTAATTATTTGTATGTATATTAAATTGTATCTATATTATTTGTAGATTATTCCACACTTCAGAGTTTGTAATTTGTGCACTTATTTCTCAAGCTGTGAGGTTAAGCTTGGAATAGAGGTAATCAGGATTAATTTATTTTATATACATGCTTTGGCTTGTAAGGCGTTTATTATGTTTTTATTTTCTTAAATTAATTTGTTAAAGTATGCTTGTGAATAAAATATGTATTTGCTTATATGACAAATTTTGGTGAAGTAAGAAATATGTTGATTTAATTATGCCTGAGTTTTGTTTTTATTTGAAATTATATTTTTTTGTGATGTTGAATTTAATATACTAATATTATGTTATTTAATAAAATGAAAATATGTTGTATTTTGTTTGAAATTATATCATTTTATTTTGAAGAACTATGATATTTTTAATATATATTGTGACTATGCATGGGGTTCATATGTGGAGGTTGGGATTTTGTTATGTGGGGGATAATTGTTCTTGAAGTCCGCGCGGCATGCCTACACTATTGATCCTAGTGTTTGGTCTTTTTGTTAAACCCCTGTAGTTCTTCCTTTTCCTTGGCCCGGAATTGAGAACGAACTCTTGGGTAGACACCTCTTGCACCATAGTCCATTCTTGGGCGGTGTAGGTACAAGGGGGGCTCATTGCTTGATGTGAGTGGGGTGACCTTTGGCTGGATTACTCAACACAGAAAGCCCGGGTCCTTGTCAAGGAGTCATAAAGAAGAGCAAGGTGATAGGAGGGCATATTTCATTGTGTTGTTGCATATATATACTTTTATATGAATTGTGTTGTGGATTGTGAGATATACTATTTTTATGTGATTGTATCTATTAAAGTATCATTTATTACTTAAACTATATTTAAGCACTACTTCACCAACTTGTCATCCTACTTGTATAAGTCATAAATTAATACTTAGTTACTGGGATTTTACGTCTCATCCCACTATTCATCATAGGAGAGCCGTCTAGTTTGGCTCGGCGCGAAGGGAAGCAACCAAAGGCATAGGTGAGAATAGCCTCGTAGTCCTCTTTTGGTTTAAGCATGTAATGTTATGTATATTGCCATCTTAGAGCCCACGACTATGTTGAAATATACTTTCTTTTGTTTGGACGACTGTATTTGATGGAATACTATTAAAATGACTGAAGGTCATAAGACCCTGCTGTAGCCTATATGTGATACTCTTATGTGTATGACTTGTGGACTGGGTTGAGCACCATGTGTTTCTTGTGCCTTAAGTCTTTGCAGAATGAATGTTATGTTGAGCTTGTGGGCCGTCACTGTGCTGAGTCCTTGTTCTACGTGTTGTTAAACCCATGAGTGTTTTATGTATCCTGAGCCTTTTGGGATGTTTTCGAAATAAGCCAAACTCTTTATAACCATGGTAGTATTTTAATACTCTAACTCAATTCTTTTTCTACTATGGTTATCATTTTAAAAATGGTTTTATAATTACGTATTAAAAAGAGCTCTTTTCAGACAACATAAATATAAAATTTAGAATTCAAAGAAAAAGTCTCATTTATGATAATTGGTCCCAAATTAAGAAATGAGATTTTAAGCCATTATTGTGGAAAAGAATAACAAACAAAAATCAAAATAAAAACAATATCAGTTAGGATGATTGGCTTCCAAATTAAGAAATAAGGTTTTGATTTGAGTCATCATTGTGAAAAAAAAGGTTGAATAAACAAAGCATAAAAAATCTCAAATCGATGATGATCTAGTGCTGGAACAACAAAAAAAAGTCATCTTGAATCATTAAGAAAAAAATTTTAAAAAAAGAAAAATATATAAAAATGCATTGATGAGATAAAGAAATCCTAGGTGATTCTTATGGAGAAGAGATGAATAGGCTAGACACCGTTTGCAGACAGATCATGGGGAACTACGGAAGAAGTAGCCAATTCTCTAGTCAGGCAAGGAATTTATCGTCGTATTTGTGACCACCTATGTGAGCCTCGACAAAATGTCTATGCTTCTGACAAATTCTTCGCACACAATTGACTCTCAAATCTTAGTTGTTTTTGGAGACCATATTTTTTCTAATAATTTGTCAAAATTATGCTTATAAAACTTTGGTCCCTATTGGAAAACCCTAACATGTTGTTGACAAATCAATGAATATCAAACAATACCAATATCAACATAAAACATATAAGCTACTCCTACGGTCTCTAATATATGACCTAATTGTTGAGTTGATTTTGATTCTAAATATAAAATATATTTCTCATATTTATTAATTTTTCTTAAATTACTCTTATTGATACTCCTTTAACTATAATCAAGTAAGGGGAATGTGAGAATATTAAGAAAGATAATTATGATGTTTTGAAAAAAAATACCACCTCCAATCCTCAATATAAACCTTATTTGACATTTATTTTGGTCTTATATATAATATTTCAATCCACTTTGCTTCTCATATTTATGTATTTTTTTCAAGGTAGTTCTTTTATTAATAATAGTTATTTATTACAACTAACTAACTTAACCTATTTCCTTAATCTACTCAAATTAGTCAGCTAGTTCTTATATTTAGGACCATATGTAATATGTCACATTTTTTATAATTAACTAACTTACCTAACTTTCTTAATCTAATTAAATTAGTTAAATAGGTTTCATATTAAGGACCGGAAGAGTATATTGTCACATTTTCATGCCCTGTCTATAAAGTATAAACAATTTGAAACCTTTTATTATACTAAAGGATTAAGGAATTATACTGTAACTGGGTTGAATCCATAAAAATAAATTAAAAAAATATTAATACTGAAGCATAAAAAAGGTGAGCAATACATTCAAATCTCAGCCATACATAACAAAAGATTAATATTTATCTTGCACCATTGCTGCATGAATAGGGTACGCCAAAAACAAAAACCAAAAAAAAAAAACAATCGGATTTGATTCAAGCAGGAATGAATAAACAGCCAGCCCATCTCTATTGCTTGCATTTCTTATATATATATAGCACGAATATTGAGCAAAATAAATAGTGGGGAAAACAGAAGAGACATGACAAATTTACTCAATGTAGTGAAAATATGCAGTAAGGCATATATACAATTTTTACGCCCCAGATTCAGCTAAAGTCAGCCATGTCTAAGGGCTTGAAGTATTTCCCATCTAGGAGATAGGTCCCAATGCTAAGCCTCACTGCCCACACATCTTTGGGTTTCCTTGATACGATTCTGCAGATGAACAACAATCTCAGTGATTCCAACAGCATTTATAGTGAGCACTGTAAATGCAGATTTAACTGTAAAAAGTCATCTCTCAGGTGCTGTATTCTCTCTGAATACATCTACATGTAATATGAAAATATAATGAATCGTACTATCCCTATTCATGTAACTATTTTTAGGCTCCATGTGTCTCATAAAACCCACACTAGTCTTTTTTTCTTTTTTTGCCAACAAAAAACCCACACTAGTAATTATTAACTGTTTATCACTCATTAATATTTTAGTATAGTCTTATTACACATTTTATGCTATCCAAGGCAGTGTGGCATATCAAAGCAAAAGAAATCATGTTACCCCAAACCAAAAAAATAAGTGAAAAGAAATCATGGGATTTATGATGTGCATATTTGGTATTACAGATGAAATTTGTCGAAAGAACCCCCAAAAAAAAAAGTACATAAAAAGTCAACAAAGCAAGAGAAATGATGGGAAAATCGAGTAGACTTTTGGCCTTTAAGTGATCAAAGACCAAATTTATCATCTCCTATGGTATGGCGTTGGATATTTAGAAGGCACATGCCTCCCAAATCTTGAAGTGCATTTGACAAGTAGAGAACTCAAATTCCAGAGCGCCTGAACTTTGAGTCTGAATTCGGTACATATCAAAGTGCACCCGGTGTGAATCTTATCTGGATAATGCAGATTCAATTTCAACAATTCTGATCTCATTACTTTTATGAGTGTACCATCTCATTGTTTTCTTCGAAAATTAGAATTGTGGTCGTATATAAGCTGACAGATAAAAACTTGACAGGATTTTATTCCATGCGATTTAACATGAAAATATACCTGAGCCATCCAAATTAAATTTCAATGAGGTGTGCAAAGTACAAGAGATCCAAATTAGAAGAGGAACAGTTGATAATACCTTCCAACATCACCGGGCTTGACCAAGCCAGAATTAGCCCTAAGACAAGGGACAGAAGCTGCAGTCTTTATGACCTTGGGAGCCTCTATGACAATAATGGGCGACCCTATCTGCAACTTCTTTGAACCTTTTGCTGCCACATCTTTTCCCACTGATAATTGGTCTTCTGAAGATTCACATCTTATCAAAACTGCATTTGGTCTCTGATTTCCAGGATTTAGGCCATTTGGCTGTTGAGTTGATGTAAACTTTGAGAATGTCTTAGTGATAGCAAAAGAAGAAAGTGATGATGCCATGATTCTTTACTATCAAATGCTTTGATTTTCCCAACCCTGCAAATACCACCAAGAGGAAATTAACCACCTTCAATAGTTTTTGAACACAGAATTCAGAGATTGTGCACCGTTACTGCTTCATTTGTTTAATTGGAAGAGTAACGGATGGGTATGCCTGGACTAGCTGTTGTTGCTATAATTAGCAGAGTTACGATAGAGATCTTTTTTCTCTTCTCTTAATTCAGAGCAGGTTAAGACAAAATAGAGCAGATCCACCTGAGAGAAGATTTTTGTAGAGTTCTGATTTGCTAAAGGAAGAAAATGCCCAGTGGCAGCCGAAACAAGAACAAAACTACTGATTCTCACAAAAACTCCATCAACGTTGGACTTTCATCTGATAAAAAAAGATTGGACAGAGTTCTTATATTTCTGATCAGTTTCTGTGACTTCCACTAGTTTTTCAGTAATACATTACAGGCAGCAAATTACAAAAATACACATGCATTTTGCAGAATTTCTGCTACCAGATCATTCCAGAGAATATCCAGCACAGAAGACAAAGAAGCAATGTTTCATTAGAGTAGTAGAATCTTTGTCCTTGCTTGATAACAACAGAGAGATTCACAGAAACAAATTAGGTTTTCAAATTACAAAAAAGGCATCCCCTGGATGGCCAATGCAGCTCAAATATCAGGACGTGTTCTTACAACAACATGCTGAACATAGCGTGTGCCTTCACATTTTAGCCGCGAAGTCAGACATGAGAACATGAAATTCGCAGCAAAATAACTCCAGAAACTATCTGCGGCTATCGTGAATGCAATTACGAGTCTGTAAGCGGACGCTCACCGTGCTACAGTAGTACAGTGGAGAAGTCTGGCGCCACGAGCTTCAGGCGAACACGGAGGGGAGGGAGTGGCATGCGAACATGTGATCAGGATATACCGCAAGAGGATAATACTTCTTGTGAACATGGAGTGAGAATATTTCAAAATACATGCATTGAAAAACTAATTTAGATTATTTAAAAGTTAGTTAAATTAGTTAGAGATAATAAGTATATAAAAAAATAATATAAAAAAATACAACTAATTTATGGGGATGGTGAGTGGGAGGGGGAATGCATAAAAATACAGACTAAAAAGAATATTGAGTGAAAAGAAGATACCAAGAGAGACATATAATTAATTAGAGATAAAAATAAGAAAAATGCATTAAATTATCCAACAAATCTAAATCTAAAACAAAGTTTATAAAAAAAACCAGAATGTCTCAAATATTTGATGTTTACATTTTAAACCTGATAGAGTATTCTTATTTAGGATGGGGTAATAATATATGATCCAGAAAAAATCAATAAAAAGTTTTTTTAAAGAAAAAATTACTAGTCAAAAAGACCTGGATTCAAATACTAATATATTTTATGTCCTAAAATATATCATGTACTTCCAAACAATAAATTCTTTTAAGAACTTTTCATAATTATACTAGATTTTTGGGTTAAAAGCTCATTTACAATTTTTTTTACCCTTAAAAATCTCATTTGCTATTTGAGTCATTTATTGTAGCCATGGTTTTTCTTGCTTCGACGTGTTTTTGTGCATGTTTCATCTCCTCATCGGGTCTTCATTCTTCAATCATCGTAGAGAACTCGGGATTTTTTCTTTTATGACTGATATTTACGGGAAAAAAAAAAAGGAGAAAATGGCACTGAGGTCCCATAGAACACAAAATGCTACAAAAAGGTCTCAGGAAATTTGGTAATGATTTTGAAGTCCCAAAGAGACTTGAGTGCAATTTGGTGAATTGTGAAAAGACGTCTCTGCCCCTAGTATGATGCACTCACAGTAACTGAAAGCTGCCCTGTTTTTTAATATGAAAATCAGCACTCAATAATCAGGAAGCAAGTGGGAAAAAACCCAGACTTCATTCTGCTTCTTCCCCCATTCCTATTTGAAAATCTTATCCACTCCACTCATGTCAATCATTGGCAAAAATGGCTTGTATTTTTGGTTTGGTGTGTGTTTGGTCATTCAAGTTGGAGTTTTATTACAGGTGGTTAAGGTAATTATGGGTGTTTTGTTTCTGGATATATTGTGGGTGGGTTAAAGATGAGTTTGACCTGTCTAAGCATAGTTCATGGGGAGTTGATAAGAAAGATGAAGGATAATGTGACTAGAAACCCTTATTGTGAAATAAGAAGATATGTTGTTAATATAAACCGTGACAGTTGTCAATATAGCTCATTTGACTTGTCAATAGTAATAGTATTGTACAGATTTACATTAACTGATTTTTTAAATTTTTAACACAAACCATGACCTTCTGTACCATTGACTTATTGGTAGAGGTTACAAAAAGAGGAAAAAGAGACAATGAAGAAGGGTGAACAGTCACATAAGGCAAAAGAAAAAAAAAAGACCGGAAAAAAAACCACTTTGAATCTAGACAATAAATTCACGTCACTTTGATTTACAAAAAAAAAATCTTTTGTCATCATTTGTTTAGATTCAAAGTGGCCTTTCTTTTTGCCATTTTTTTTTTCTTTTGCCTTATGTGACTGCTCGTCCTTCTTTATTACCTCTTCTTCTTCTTTTTGTAACCTCTACCAATGAGTCAAAGGCACAGAAGGTCATGGCTTTTGTGGAAAAAATTTAAAAAATAAGTTAATGTCCTACCCCACACTATTACTATTGACAAGTCAATGAGCTATATTAACAATTGTCGTGGCCTATATTGACAACATATTTTCCTATTTCGCAATAAGAGTTTTTAGTCACACCGACCTGCATCTTTCTTATCAATTTTCCTTTAACCATGCCCAGACAGATTAAGCCCACCTTCAACCCACTCACAATATACCTAGAAATAGAACACCCATAATCACTCTATCCACTTATAATAAAACCCCAACTTAAATGACCAAACACACCTAGTACTGGGAAAACGGGCCGGCTCGTTTAAGCCCGAGTTCCAAAAATAAGTCATTTTTTCAAGCCCGGCCCGTGAGATGACGGGCTCGGGCTAGCCCGCGGGCTTCTGGTCTTTTTAATTAAAATAATTATTTTTATTATTTTTGTATATTTTATCAAAATAATAAAAATGAAACAATAAAAATTACTAATAAAAAGTATAAATATAAATAAAATTGAGTCACAAATATAAACATTATCATGTCTAAACATATATTACAGTATAATAAAGTCTATTGAATAAACAAACTAAATAGAGGACAGACATAAACAACTAAATAAGCATTAAATTCAGTAGATAATTACAATGCAGATGATCTAGTTTGATTATAAATAATTAACAAAAAAGTTTAACTAACAAACATAGTATACATAAAGAATAATCATTTATCATACCGACAAAAAAGAAAAGAGTCCATCATTCTTAGTTCTAAATTTGTTTATACTATAAAAATGATATAGATCTTTATTTTAGTTTAAAAGATTTTTTGATCAATTATATTTCAAGTATAAAAAATATGGGAGAATGATAAATAAAGACTGTAAAAATTATAGATACAGTATTTTAATAGGTTTTGACAACTTATAAATAACAATATATTTTTATGAATATACCTAGTTTTAAATTTTGCAATTTTCATGTTTTTTGGTTATTTTTCCCACAGCTATAGTGATTCTTTTTTTCTTTTTATGAATGCTATCTATGTGAGCTGTCAAGATAAGTAAAACTAAGAGTATGATATGTTTAAAATGTTAGGGTTTTCTTTTTTAAGTTAAGAAAAAAAGATAGAAATTATAAAAAAAAATTTGGCGGGCCTAAACGGGCCGGCCCGTTTATTTTTCGGCTCTACAGGACTGACCGTTTTAAGCCCGACTTTCCTTTCAAGGCTCCAAAATATAAGCCCGGCCCTCGACTTAAACGGGCTTAAACGGGCCGGCCCGACGGGCTCGGCCCGTTTTCCCGGCTCTAAACACACCAAACAAAAAACACAAGCAACTTTTGCCAATGATTGATATGAGTGGAGTGGATGAGATTTTTAGATGGAAGTGGGGGAAGACACAGAATAAAGTTTGGTTTTTTTTCCCTCTTGCTTCTTGCGTAATGAGTGTCAATTTTCAAACTGAAAAATAGGACAACTTTCAATTACTATAGGTGTATCTCACTAGGGGCAGAGGTGTCTTTTCACAGTTCACCAAATTACACTCAAGTCCCTTTGGGACTTTAGAATCATTCCCAAAATTTTTGAGACCTTTTTGTAGTATTTTGTGTTACATGGGAGTCAATATCATTTTCCCAAAAAACAAAAGGAAAGTTAAAAATGAGAAATTATCAAATTCGATCCAAAACTCTGGAAAATTACAAAATTCCCTCATCATGGTGATGCAACTGCCAAAATCCGCCACGTAAGGATTCTAGCTGCAATGCACGATACGAGGGCCAAAAGCGGGATTTGGCCATTGAGAATATTATATATTCACTGTGCAAGTGTTGTGCTTTTTTTTTTTTTCAATTTTTAATTTGATAGTTATATATTGTCCTCTGTTAATAAAATACTTTAATTTTTCTCTATATTAGCATTGTTAGCCCTTGTGTAACATACAAAAAAAAAATATATTTTAAAAAAAATATTTATTAAATTAAATTAAATAATATTTTATTATTATTAAATTTATTAAAAAAAAAAGAAACAGCTTTCGGTGGAAAGCTGGGAACATTTGACAAAAGGAAGAAATTGGGGGGAGTAGCATTTAATGAAAGATGGAAAAAATGGAATAGGGTAGTTGGATGGTGGAAGGGAAAATAGGATAAAAGAGGGGGAGAGGAGACGGAGGAGGAAGAGAGTGAAGGAAGAGAGAAGAGAGTGAGAAGCTGAGAGGAAAATAGAGAGAGAGCTAAATTGCAGAGTACCTGACGGTTTTGGAGATCATTTAGGTACACAAAACTACTTCTTGTTATCATATTTTCTTTATGAATATTTCCTATATATTTATATCTTTATATTATTAGTTTCATTATCATGTTTAGAGAAAATTTTACCGTTTGAGTATAGAGTAAATATGGAGTTTTGACAATATATGACCGTAGAAATTTAAAGATCCATTATTAAGGAATTTTAATCGGTTTATTTTTGTTTAATGATTATTTTGAGAATTTTAAACTAAGATTTTAGTTGAAAAGTTTGTTATTTAGACTTGTAATATGTTTTTACCGATTAAATTTGAGTTAAATAATTTATTTGAGTTATTTAATATATTATTGATGTTTTAATCGGCTTAAATATTGAATAAGTTAAATATATATTTTGAAATAATTTTTGAATGCTTGAAAAATTATAAATTGAGAATTTTGTGAAATTAAATAAAGCTACAGTTTGTTTATAATTAAAATATATATATATATATATACTTTTGTTAAATTTAAATAGCCTTATATGTAAATTATTTTTTCAAAATAATATCTATTATAAATGTCTAGATTTGGGAGAGTTAATATATTTATGTATTTTGGTTTAGAGGGTAGTCTTAGAATTTTAGAGTAGCTTTGAAGTAGTTCTGAGTTTATATTAATAAATATTTATGCAATTTTGTAGACTTGAGAATTTTGGAGTAATCTTTGTGTGAATATTTGTAAGCTAAAGAGTACCAGGTAACTCTGAAAATTCTTTCTTGTACATGTGAATTGTGTATGATTATATTGTGGATTTACTAATTTTTATATCATACTGAAAAGTAGTATTATGATTTCAAATAAATGTTTTGATATGTTATTTGATTTTGTCAAGATTTATTGCTATTAATTATGATCAATGTTTAAATATATTGATGGCTGAGGAATTGTCATGAGTTGTTATTAAATGGTATATAAGTTTTATTGCTATCTTATCTTTAAAATATTTGAGGACGTATTTATGATGTAACATTATTGGCATCTGACATGCATTGTTGGGCTAAGGATAGAAGGAGATTGCATGGATATGAAATTACCACGTGGTATGCCATCACTCGGTGCACAGTGGATGGCACTTGTCAGGGCCCCTTCTTCCATGTTTTCCTTTGGCCGGGAATTCATTGGAGTTGTGGGACATGTGACACCTCCCTATTCACAAAGGAGGGGAGCCATAGTCCGAGCTTGAGCTCTATATCTTTGGCCGGATATATCTCTAGTATCGGTGAGCTTGGAATAATTCAGTAAAATGGATTAGTTCCTATCGGACTATGTGTTAGCCTATGGCTCCAGTCAGCGGTATAAGGGTGGACGGTGATATAAGGGAGGTAGCATATTGCATTATTTTTTGGATATATTAGAACAATGATATTGGTATATTGTTGGAAAAAAAAATGAAATTGAATTGGATGTCTCAAATCCGTGATTTTTAATATATTTATATACACACATATAAACAGATTTTTGGTTTATCATATATGATTTGCTTGTATAGGTTAGAATTTCAGTAGTTACTGAGACGTTTGAGCTCATCCCCTATATTAACAATTTTTCAGGCGAATGATCTAGTAGGAATCAAGGGAAGGCACCAATGGAGTGAGCCGTGAAGGCTTTTGTGCTCCTCAAGCACATGCTATGTTATATTTTTATTTGCCATGACTATAAGACTTTAATAGTTTATGTTGTTAAGTTATGTTAGAAATGTGTTGAAATTTTGACTTATTTGCAGTATTAAAAATATGTATGGACTTTTAAATTAAATATTTTATCGAGTATATTGATATAATTATGTGAGGTGTTACACCTTGCATTAAATCAAAGTTATGGATATTAGAGAAAACTTAAAATATTTAATTAAGAAAAAATAAAACACAGGTACTAAATTAGAAATTAAAAAATATATTTTCTATTTAAATTACAAAAAAATATAAGTTGTTTATTGAATTGCGTAACATCACTTCTAAAAACATTAACCTCATTTAAAATGAATTTTCAAGGGAGGCTAGTGTTTTTCAGTAACAAATTTTACATTTAGATTATGCATTATAATTTTTAAATTTTCAGTAGTCTTATTTTTAATTACCAACAATTTAGTTCATGCCTGAAAAATATAAATTTCAAGAGAGATTAGCTTTCTCAAAAGGGGAGCTACACAAATTTAATAGACACCTCATGACTTTTCCCTAGTGTTATTTTTTATTGTCACTAATTTTAGTCCAAATCTAAAATGTAAAATAAGTAAATGTTCAAATGAAGTCAGCGATTTTCAGAAGTAATGCTACACAAATTCAATAGATGTCGGGTGTCTTTTCATTATTATGATATTCGTTTACCAACAATTTAATTCAAGTCTAAAATAGATTTAGTTTACAAGTGGAGTTATGCAAAAGCAATTGACACCTCGTATTATTTCAACAATCATAACTTATTTTTGGATTAAAAAAAAAGTTGAATAACCTGAAACAATAAATCGACCTTGCCACCATACCTTTGGAGATTCTACAGTAACTCAGAAAGAAATATTTGAATAAAAACCAAACAATGACTTTAAAAACACTTTTAAAAAACATTTTTTTTAATCAACCAAACACCCCTTAACTCTCCAATGAAGGACCTTTCACTCAACCCACCTGATTTTGCTCTTTTTTCTTTTTTTTTCCCCTTTTTTGAATGAAATTTGTAGCTACTGATTTTAAATGTAAAAGTTAGATAACTAATTTATAAATATTAAAAAAATTAAGTTTTTTTAATAAATAGGTATTATCTTCCCTAAAGGCCTAAAACAACATTCTTAATCATGCGTATTAAAATTACCATTTGATAAAATCTTTAATTTGTACAATCACCATTACTACTATGAGAAACATATTGAATCAATAAAAATGTAAAACAAATTGAATTATGGCCTCATATTTAATATTAGACTAAATTATGACTAGCTCTTATATTAAAAACGAAAAGTAATATTAACAAACTAGATCAAGGTACATAATCAAGACATAATCATCCTTCATCCAATGCACTAACCACGCCATTTAGCCATGTAGTCAGCATCAAGAATCTGTTCCTTATTCACGTGTTTAATTCTAACTATACAGTCCTCATGAGTAATTAATCTAGCTCCATCAACAATATCGTGAGACGGATGACTGTCTTCAGAACTTTCAGTGACCAATTTTGTAGCTTTTATATAATTAGAAAAAAAGGTTGATCTTTCTATACAATCTAGCTCCATGGATGCAACTAGTCAGCTCTACAATGGCTGGAGGAACCATCGTGAGCGTATACCAACAAATCACAATTGCATGATTTGTTATGGCTTCTTCATGTTTTGCTGGTTTTCTTATAAGCCGGTTCATCTCTTGTTCCGGACCAAATTAAGGCATGAATCATGATTGGCCAGTTTTTGGTTAAAATGGCCTGTGCGGACCAATTTTCCAAACCTTGCATATCACCGAAAGCACAGCCCTGTTGTCCATGCACTTAAAAAACGCAAGTGTAAAACAATTCTTGATCCCCGTCTATTAAAGTTTGAGATGTACACGAAAATGAACGTTTCGGGGGATCGATGAAGATGGCCAAACCCAAACAAAAAGGATGGTGTCAAACGAATAAAAGAAAAATTAATTTAATCGATTGACTTCAAACTTACAAATGCTATTGTAAGGTAATATGACAAACAGGGACATCCAGATCGCAAAATTATGGAGAGCTACCACCAGTCATACCTTGGTGGTGGATTGTTACTTCTGCCAAACCTCGATGCTGAGGATCTATGATGAAAAGAATTGGCTAATCCTTTTGATCCTGAGGATCCAGCATGGTTGAATGACTTCCATCTGGGCGGGGTTGCAGGAGACATCCATCTGTTGTTGAACTTTCTGGGATAGTGTTCTTCAGGATCTTCAGCCATCCAACCACCTCTACGCTTCGATTTTCCCTGAGGCTTTGGTGAATCATAGTCTCCAGGATCCTCAAACATCCACCCGCCTCTCGGCTTGGATTTCTTCGGAGTGGTAGCACCTCTGTCTTTGAACTTTGAAGGAAAATCTTCGACATCCTCATTCATCCAATCAACCCGCCGCTTTGACTTGCGAGAAGTGCTTGCAACCATATCATCAGTTCGGATCTTTTTCTTTTTATGGGCCTTACCCATATTAGATGGTGCAGACCCATATTCAACGTAATCTTTCTCTTTACGGGATCTAGGAGATTTTAATAATTGGCGATTCTTCTTCCTTACCTGAAAAGGAACAGCACAGAGGGCATGAAACTACTTGTCTTCCTCCAAGAGACATGGAGGTAAAACGATGACACATTTAACCTAAATAGAACCATAAAAACCTCAATAAAACATATTAAAGATTTAAAATATATGTTTATAATAGTAATAATAACCGAAATGCATGTCCCTATAGTACCTTGGCGGAACTTGTACATTCACGGGCAAAATGTCCCTCTTCTCCACACTTAAAGCATGAACTAGGCGTGGCTGCACCAGTGGTCTCCTCCAATATTACCTTAGCAAAATTGGCGCATTCCCGAGCAAAATGTCCCACTTCACCACACTTAAAGCATGAACTAGGTGTGGCTGCACCAGTGTTCTCCTCTTGTAACCTCAAACAAGCCTGCATTGTTGATTCTCACTCATGTGGGACATTTTTTGATAAAACATGCATTTCTTGATCATTACAAGTTTTTTTGAACTAATTTCTTCAAGATTATATGATTGATGCAAAAAGCAATATGCATAACATCCAACATCTAATCTAATAAGAACTGGAAGTAATAGCAGCAAGAGTTACATAGTATGATAATTCAGAAACTATAGCATGATAGTGATAGATAATGATGCACTCATATGACTTGAGTAGGTAAAGACAGTAGAAAACACATTCAATACCCGTAAACAATACTCATCTGGATAGCTCACTAGATTTTCCAAGTTCACATGAAAGTCTATATCAAATTTACTTATAACTTGCTTTGTGGTGTGTGTGTGTGTGTGTGTGTGAAATGTCACAATAACATCGTATCGAAAGAAATTTCCCTATGCCCCCAGATTATGCCAAAATAAAGGCTAAAACTTACCAGACCAGTATGACCCAATCGACCACATCTGTAACAAGAAACTTCCCATCTCGGACCATCATCAGAATCAACGCAACACAAGTGGCCAAATGCTTTGCAAACATAGCATTGTATTTCCTGAAAACACACATGACATTTACCAATTATATTCAAAATTCAACAAAAATCCCTCACAAAGTTGCAAGGAAAATAAAATACCACAAAGGGGGGCAAAATGAAATGGAACAGAACAACCTTAAGATCATCTGATGAATAACTATTCTTGCATTGAAACATATCATGCCCCGACTTCCCACACTTCAAACAGAATACTGAACTTTTAGACCCACCGGTGATCTTCTCTGGACAGTCTTTGGCACGGTGACCACCTTTCTTGCAGATGAAGCAGTCTCGTGCCTACAGAAAAACACAGGGAATTTTGATATACCAAAGAAAAACAAAAGCACTAGCATTAACTCTCATTCACACACAGACCCAATCCTCTCCATCGAATTAGCGGCTGAATCAAACGAGGCAGAAGATATTTAAAAAATAAAACACAAACCTTGGTGCAATTTTTTACAGCATGCTCCAAGCTTCCACATACAAAGCATGGTTTCTTGCGTCTCCCTGCTTTACAGTTCACTGCAGTATGACCTCCTTCACCACAGTTGAAGCAAGTTCCCCAATTACTATCAGGAGGATCAAAATACCTGGGGCCCCGCTGATAGAATAGACACAGAAAGGCATATCCAACTAAACCTTCGTCTATGATATTATTTTCAAACTCACAGTTTAGAAAGAGTAGTTCAAACTCACAAGCAGCTTTCGTAGAACAATATTGTCACCCATCTGAACTGGACTTGCTTCTGGGGGCTCGTTTGTTTCGCTGGCTTTGATTGCCTCGCTTGTCTCTTGTTCTTCTACTGTAATAATCTAATCAAAAAAGAGCCAACCATTAAACTTTAATGAAAAAGCCAAAAAGACCAATAAAAAGCCCTTGCATAATTCAGCAGAAGCACAAGCCTCCAATGCAGCTGGATATGCTTCATTATTTCAGTTCAATTACTCTTGATGCCCATTCCGATTGACAGGGTGCGTTCTCACTTTCACTTACACCCCAATGGCACGAAGAAAATAAACCACACTCACTTTATAAAAAAAATAACCTCAAGACGGAATAATACTCACACTTTGATCCCCAGATTCAATTTTCTTAAACTTCTTTTTATTCCTCTTCATCTCAATCTCTGCACTTTCCAGATCGACATCGCAGCCAAAGTCACCGTCACGGTCCAATTCGCCACCATTCTGGAGAAGCTTCGCCTCACGCATACGTTGGGCTTTCTCCTCAATCTTGAGAGTCAGGTCCTCGTTTGCTTCTTCATCGTCACTGCTTGAAACGACCACAGACGACGAAGCCTTCTTGTCGTCTTTAAGATCCTCTTCGTCCTCAATCTTTGCGCTCTGCCTCTCCTTCCGCCTCCTCATGGGGGCTGCTCCCAAATTACGAACCCAAGCAAAACAGATCAAAAATCTGAGGAAGCAGCAAGAGAAGAAAGAACCGCTGCAGCAAAGCGTGTTTAAAAGCTAGGGTTTTTTTCCCTTTTCCCGGATGGCCAAAAACAGTACGGTTTTTTTTTCCCCCTCTTGACGGATAACGGAATTCGAAGGGAATCCTCTCAGTTGAGCAGTATATCCCGACATGGGCTTGTCTAGTTTGGGCTTTAGCCCATAAAAAGTTATATAAGAAAAGCTTAATGGGATAACATTTTAATTTTACACAGCGAGAGTTGATCCAAGTAGTAAGCGACTTAGTACCGTTTAAATAAAATCTCGAGTTCAAGCCTCAGCATATGCAGAAATCCCTGTTGTGAGACTCACCCATCACAGCCAGGTATACCATGCGGGTCGAATTCAGATGTAGTCGGAGTAAAGTTCCTTTGAACTGGATGGGTAACAAAAAAAAATTTTAATTTTACACAAGGTTAGGTCTAGTAGAAGAACCAAGTACCTTATAAGGTGATGAATCAATATTTGAATATCGTTAAAAGAGATATTCACATTTAATACTCAATAATACTTTAGACGGAATTGCCCCAGTTGGAAGATGCACGTGCTTAGCCAAAAAAAAATAATGACATTTTAATTTTAATCATAGACATATACAATTCAAATAGCCATATTTAGTATCAGAGATCCTCGAATTGCATGATCTCTGGTAGAAGGATACATGTGTAGGGAGAATGGCATTAAAAGCATTAATATGCTAACTTTTTTAATGATTGTGTTCGGCTGAATTAAATAATTTACTAAATATAATTAATTAAGTGATTGGGAAATTATGATATAACTATTAATTCATTTTAGATCTTAAATTTTGAAGCAAAAAAGCATACATATAAGATCTAAGTCCTTGGTGGAGATCTATGTCATAAAGGAAAAAAAATATTAAAATTTTTTTTGAGAATATGGGCACAATCTTTGAATTCAAATGCAAAATGTCAAGGTTTTGAATTTCTAGATAATTCAACGATCAACGAATTACACTAAAGTCAATCATATAGCAAAGCCAAATGAAACATGGAAAATTGAAAGATCATCCTTTTGGAGGGATTACTAAACAAATTTCATTATATTAATAAGGGTTCCAAAATTTGTTGTGGTGGTTGGGAGTAGAAATGTCCATAGGAGTGGCTTTTCATTGAATTGGCAAAATTATTTTTGGGCCATAAGTGGAAGAGGATTCTGCCTATTTTGCTTGTATTTTTTTTTTTCTTATTGGAATTTGGTTCAATTATACCTACCACAATTTTGTTAGGCTTTTTTTTTTTTTTTTTTAATTTGGACGAGAGGTGTAGAGCCTGATTAACGGTTCAGGATTGAATCCCAAACCTGGCATCACTAAGGACACATTTTGTGATACTAGATCATATAATTTTCTACACTTTGTTAGGCATTTCCCTTCAAAGTTTTTCACACGCTCAAGATTCTACCTTACACTGGTTCACAAACAATACAGTCACAATATATAATTATTACATTGCGATTTTGGTAAAAAAAAAATCATACATTGACATAATTAATTTGACCATCGTGAGGCACAGTTTTTAATGCATTGATGAAGTTTAAACTTGTCATCTCGTGGTATGATGATAATGTATCTCTATTTTATAATATATTTTTATATACAATTAAAGAATTTTATAATATTTAAAGGACTTAGAATGTAATAGATATTTATAATTTGAATTAAAAATTAATTACTTAGAAGTGTATTTTTTTATTATGCTTTTATAATTCTCCTTTTGAAAAGCATCTTTGTTTTGATTTCAGAAATATTTCGTTAAACAAAACATGGACCTCTTGAAAACTACATTTGCAGCAGCCACTTGAAATTAAAATTTTTCAATTATCTAATTGGGAATTATCCAAAATATCTTCTACCTTCCATCCTAAATTGAAGAGTTTAAATAATTAATTTCTTTTGTGGATAATTTCTTTATCGTATTTTGAATTTGAATAAATATTTTATTTATACATCTATTATCCATTTAATTTTTTAAATATCCACACCTAAATTCTAATATCAGTTTATCCTACTATCATATCTTTACTCAAGTTTAAAATATTATCCCTTTATCCACTGTTATTTAAATTCAAAAGCTCTTCCTTTTAGTTGTTATGAAAATCACACCAAATCAGGAGAATTTAAATTCAATTTCTATCTTTTGAATTCAAGATATATTAAATAAAATCATTTTCCTCCAATGCAAGAGATTAACAAGATTACAGGATAAAAAAAGAAAAAAAAAATTAAGCTAGAAGTCTCAAGGATTGCCTCATTCAACTAGGATAGATTCAAGAGCTATAAAAAGAGATCAACTGATCAAGGGAACCTCGGAAAAGAAAGCCATCTACACTTGCACAATCACAAGGATACACTTGGTTTCTTCTATGTCTAATTATTCACTATTGTCTTCTTTTTTTTATCATTATAGTGTCATCCAGCCATAAGTGTGGTTAGTCCTCTTTGTTCCGGAGAATAAAATGACATGGCTTGAGTTCCTGTTTATATTAAGGAGTTTGTTGGTTTTTATATTTCAAATTTATTGTCTTTATAAATTTTCTAAGTTTGGATTTTTGTTTTCTTTTTATGGGCCGTTATTAAATTTTTGTTTTAGTTGAATAATTATGTTTTAAAGTTTTCAAAAAATATATTTTCAGTTCCTCATCATTCTATAAGTGTTTATATTTGTAGATTTCTATTTGATTTACACAAATAGTTCTTGTCCTCGAGTTTTTGATAGGTAACACTCTTCAAGAAATCAGATATGACTATTTAATTGAATTTATAATTAAGTGGCTTTTAAATAATTAATTGAAAGATAATTAATTGTTACTTAGTTAATCATGACTAGGATATTATCTAGGATTTTGTTTTTGACTTAATAAACTATTTTTATACATACTCCTCAACCTTTTGAGCCGTGATAGTCATGCATCAATGTCCTTGGTAAGTACATTATTCTGCTAAGATTTTCTATAATTTTTTCCTTTTTTTAGTTATTGTTATTTTTCCTTTATTTTTCTCAATTTATTTTGCAAAATAAAGTTCAATCAAATTTATCTTCTTCTATTTCTTTTAGTCGCCTTTTAAGGAAAAGGTTTTTAAAAATTTAATTTAGTTAATTAATTTGAAAGCTTACATGATAGGGAGATCATATCACATCTACTGTGTTTGAGATTTCACGAGCATATGTTCAAAGTGGGAGAGAGAAAAAGGTTGAGAAAATAAATGTTCTACCGTTTAACATAAGAATTAAATAATTAATTTAAAAATATTTAAAAAATTCATTAAGTTGATTATTCATCACAAATTTTTTTTAAATTATCATATTTAATCATATGCTTCCCAAGAACATTCTTTACAATAAATAAAAATATTTTAGAATAAATGAGAAACAAAGTGAATTGAGATCATATATTTAGGACTAAATCTAATATTTTAACTAACTCTTATATTAAGAATTGAATATAATAGATTACAAAATTGAAGAAGTAAATTTTATGTGTAAATGACCAACGAGGCACGAGAAAAATATTGTACTACCTCTACTCCTTAATATAGGAGCAATTAAAGGTTTAATTTGGTCATAAATATAATACACTAGTCCAATTTATCTTTTTTTTTTTCTAAAGTAGTAATTATGGTGATTGCATACATTAAAAGTTTTATAATAAAGTGATTCCAACGTTCATGAAATCAATAAACATATTTTAAGAAAAATAATATTTATTTATTACAAATATTTAACTTAACTAATTTTCTTAATATATACAAATAAGTTATTTAGCTTTCATGCTAAGCATTGGGGGTTATTATAATTAGGTTTGGGGGCTCATAACGTGATAAATCAATATTGAAATACTTGTTAAGAGAGATTTTTACATTTAGTACTCAATATTACTTCGAATAAGATTATCTCAAACAAAAGGATATTTGTGCCTAACGAGAAAAAAGATACCATGAACAAATTCAACCACAAAAAAGAAAAATAGAAAACACAATTCAAGATATTCCAAACTAGTCACTAGAAAGAAGTTAAATGTAAAATAAGGTTGTATTTGAGATCACCTTTTGAGATATCAAACTGACTTTTCACTACTAAGAGTAACTTTTAACCAAAATTTTTAGTTCGAGATCATAGTGAAATAAAAGAGCTTCATGGAAAGAGGTATCTTTTACCTTGAAGTCATTTTTTGTAGCTTCTCTAATGCATCACGGTGCGGTGAAAATTATACCCTTTCTCTTGCCTGAAAAAAAGTGACATTTGCATAGAAAATGATTATGCTACTCAGATTTATTTATTATTATTTTTATTTGTTAATGTAAAAATAATAATTAAAAAATCTTTTACAACCTTTTCAATAGGACATCAAATCCTTTTATTTTTATAATTTTTACTTGAACATTTTTCTTAAAATTATCACATTATACACATATAATATATAAAATAAGATTTATATACTTTTCAGTTATTTTACATCTAAACTTGTTTTTTATTAATCATTTAAATAAGTTTCAACTTCTTAAAGTCAATTTAAATATAAATTATATAATACTATCTTATTTTTATTGAATTTGACTATTACAAAAATTAGATTAAAAAAAAAGCTCTTGATATTGTTAATTTAAATGCACCCTAAAATATATTTTGATTACCATGCGTAAAAGAAACTATCATTTAAATATTATAAATTTAGAACTTTAAATTTAAACTATTGAAAGATTTTACCAATAGCAAAGCAATCCGATGAAGGGAAAGAAAAATAATGTGCATAAATAATCAAAATAAAAGATTCCATCTCAATCAAGTACGAAAGGTAGTGTCACTATCAAACATAAGGTATTTAAGGAAGCAAGGAAGCCACTTTTCAAATATGTCAAATCTCATCACCCAGTCATTTCAAAGCTGCAAATTATGAAAACTAGAAACCGAGTCAAAGTGATTATGTGAAGAATATTTCCAAATTAATAAGTATTTTTGGTTATTATGCCCAGCCCAAGTCATT